GGGGTATAATCCTTGGTGGGAGGATAGGAGTTCAGGGCTGGGGACGGGGCTGGAGGTGAAGGTGCAAGGGCCCAGAAGTTTGGGCACCCGGGGTTAAGGGGGCCGAGGAGAAGTTGGGCGATGGCTGGAGAGGCCACGGATTAGGGAATCAACGTCCAGTGGGTCAGAGATCAAGGGGACCAGGAGCGCAGTTGAGATTTGAGAGGCTGTGCATAGTCCGAGGCCGGAGATTTCAGGGCGCGTGGGGCGTAGGTTGGAATGGGGAGGCAGGGCTGGGGGCCATTTCCTCCTGAAAAAGGTCCACGTAGTGTCCAGGAGACCCTAGCTTGTGGTCACAGCAGCTGCAACCCCGCTGACCTAGTTGTGGGTCAGCCAGCCTGCCCCTGGGAAAAGTCATGGGGGCCTCCTTTCCACTGGCGGACATTTCTTTCCAATACACCGACGAGACAAGAGGGGACTCAGCACCATGGGGCCATTGTGGGTGGAACTTGAAATTGGGCCAGGTTTCCCAGAAAATTCAGGCTCGGGGCACTAGCCTTGCTTTGGTAAGATTTTCCTGTGGAAAAGGGGTGTGTGTGTGTGTGTGTGTGTGTGTATGTGTCCCACCCCGACATCAAAAGCTACTGAAAATGTGAAGGGACCCCTGCCCAAGAGGACTCTGTACCTGTGAGGGCCCTGAGAGCTCCCTCCCCAGAAAACCTGTTACCTGAGGACTGGGCTTTGGGAACCTTGCTCAGGTCCCTACATACCAAAAACAATGGAAAGGGCTCTGTGGCTTCCATCATCTTCGATTTCCACAGCCTGGAAAGGAGTGGGCAGGGGAGATCCTGGGCCTGGCCTTGGCATTAGGGATCACAGGTCACCCCAAGAAGGTCTTCTTATCAGTGGCTCTTGGTGCCTTTTAAACCGGGTTGAGCCTGGCCAGCGTGGCTCAGTGGTTGAGCGTGGACCTATGAACCAGGGGGTCACTGTCCCATTCCTGGTCAGGGCACATGCCTGGGTTGCAGGTTCCATCCCCAGCAGGGGGCAATTTATAATTTTCTCTCATCATTGATGTTTCTATCTCCCTCTCCCTTTTCTCTGAAAAAAAAAAATATATATAGTTTAAACTGGGTTGAGGTGGTCAAGTCATCATCTTGAAGAAACCTATACTGCCCCATAGATCTTATTTGGGGGGAGGGCAGATTCTGTTCCTTTCCTCACAAACCCCACAGAAAACTCAAAGGACAGGACTGCTTGATGCAGCCTCAGCCAACCACATGCCTCAGGGGATCAGTGAGGTCAGAGAAGTCATAGTAATGGAGAACCTGAGAGCAGGGACCCCCTGGTTTATCAGACATGCATCTGCTCCCAGGGCATGACTTCCTGTCCGGATTTGCAAACTGGTTCATCATATCAGTTATTAGTGGCTTTGTACAGGGGTGAACGGGTTAGGAGCTGGGGGCTGTGAGTTTGGGAATCAGATTCCCATTTAATCCTCACACAACCTGTGAGGCAGATACTCGTATTATAATGTAGTCTCATGTTACAGATTAGGAAATCAAGGCCCCAAGGGTTTAAGTGACTTGCCCCAAGGCAACACAACTCATGCTGTTCTCAGTCTCCATGACTGTTGTCAGTGTGCCTGATCGGAAAGACAAATAACAGTGTGTGGGGAAGCCTGTGGTTCAGGCCTGAGGCCCCTGAAACAGAATTCTGCCCAGGTGCTTGTTTTGCTTTCAGATTTCTGGCCCCGTGTCCCTCACTCCCTGTTAAAATGCAGAAGGAAGGTGGGACCCCTTGGGTTGGATGTTTGCTCCAGGCACTTACAACTTAGAAACTGCTTGTATCAAATGATCCTTTGTGCCTTGGGGAGCTCAAGTAGTGATTCAGAGCTCTGGCTTGAAATCTACACCTGGGTTGGTCTCGGACCACTACTATTATTTTTAATCCTCACCCAAGGGTATTTTTTCCATTGATGTTTAGAGAGAATGGAAGGGAGGGAGATGGAGGGGTGGGGAGAGAAGAGAGAAAGAGACAGCATGTGAGAGAGACACATCAATAGAGGCCAAGGATTGAACCTGCAACCCAGATATGTGTCTTTGACAGGGAATTGAATCCGTGACTCTTTGGTGCATAAGGCCGACGCTCTAACCACTGAGCCTACAGGCCAGGGTAGTCTTGGCCCCCTATTAACCTTCCTGAACTCTTTTCCTCTCTGAAACTGCGATCCTCAGCTGGTGGTTAGGAGGATCAAATGAAATAGTGCACACAAAGTGTTTAGCACTTTTTTAGTGCTGGTTAAGTGGAATGAGGTTTACCAATATGCCGCTGGGTTTTCTGATGAGTTCTGTTCTAAGAATCCCCTGCAAAGTGACTAAAAATATTTTATTTCCCCTTCCTCCTTATGCAATTTGGGGGAGAATTTTAAAAATATTTTTATTGATTTCAGAGAGGAAGGGAGAGGAAGAGAGAGATAGAAACGTCAATGATGAGAGGGAATCATTGATTGGCTGCCTCCTGCAGGCTGGACCGAGCCAACAACCCAGGCATGTGCCCTTGACCAGAATCTAACCTGGGACCCTTCGGTCCTCAGGCTGACGCTCTATCCACCGAGCCAAACCAGCTAGGGCTGGGGGAGAATTTTTAAAGCACTCATTTTTACACCCTCCCTCAAATGGGAGGGTTTCGTCCTTGTTCCCAGAATTTCTTTTCAGAGTTGTCAACATCAAAGTTTTCAAAATGTTTTTAGGAAGGCTGCATTGGAGTTCTGCTTTTCAATTTTGATTTAAAAGCCTCTTTCTTTGGTGGGAAACAGTTGCCAGAATACACAGGATCCCTTAGCCTTTTTTTAAAAAAAAGGTAATTAAGTTTTAAAAATTTTAATCATTTCACAGAAAATTTGAAAGGGAGAGAAAAAAAAGTCACCAATGATCTCACTATCCTAACACTTCTGTTTTTATGAATTTTCTTAGTTTTTTTTTTTTTTTTAAATCATTCCTCTATGTCTGCCAGGCATGGCTCAGCAGTTGAGCATCGACCTATGGACCAGGAGGGCACAATTAGATTCCTGGTCAGGGCATATGCCTGAGTTTCGGACTTGATCCCCAGTGGGGAGTATGCAGGAGGTAGCCAATCAATGATTCTTTCTCATCATTAATGTTTCTATCTCGTTCTCCCTCTCCCTTCCTCTCTGAAATCAATTTTTTTAAACATTAAAAAATAATAAGCCCTAACTGGTTTGGCTCAATGGATAGAGCGTCGGCCTGCAGACTCCAGGGTCCCAGGTTCAATTCCAAGTCAAGGGCATGTACCTTGGTGGCGGGCACATACCCAGTGGGGAGTTGCAGGAGGCAGCTGATTCATGTTTCTCTCTCATCGATGTTTCTAACTCTCTATCCCTCTCCCTTCCTCTCTGTAAAAAATCAATAAAATATATTTTTTTAAAAAATAAAAAAATCATTCCCCTATAACTTTTATACCCTACTAATCTCACTTCATATTTATCATTCCTTTAACAATTTATCTAGTTTTAGAGTGGAGATGATATCCTCTTTTCTATGTTGAGTTAGAAAGGACATATTGAGTGAGTGGTAGTGGTGGTTACTTTACATATAGAAATAGGAAACTTGAACTCTTTTACAGTATTCTTCCTATTTAATCTTTTAAAAGTCTTTTGATTTGTGTTTTTTGCAAATAGGTATGAGTATTCTCCAAGGAAAGGATGACATATTTTTGGACCTGAAACAGAAATTCTGGAATACATATAAGGTAAGACAGACTTTTGAAAATGGAAAAAAACCAAAATATTTTTGTACATTTTTAACATTAAATACATTTTAATAAAAATGTTATTAAATCAGGGCTACAGTTGGTTAGCACAAGGATACAATATTTGAACAGAAATATTACATTGATTTTGACAGATGAATCGAATGAAAAGAAGCTTTAAGAGTGTCTATCTGAGAGTCTCTGAATTGCATTCAGTGTTCACCATGATTCCTGATGTCCCTATATTTACTCTTACTAGTGATTATAATTTAGTGAATCTCAGAATCAAAGAGTTTATTGCAAAAAGCCTAGAATGTGAGTGGAATCATTCCCACATTCACAGTCGAGGTGTCCAGATGTGCATTCTGCTGAGTCCCTGGGAAAGGAACCTTCTTAACGTTACAAAGTGTTTACAGAGAAAGATGGTACTCCCCAGGGTCGTGTCTAGGCTTGGAGCAAGTCACCGGTTGTACTGTTTGCTCAGTACAGGTATACACAGTCCAGTCTGACAAACATTAATTCATTCCGTGAAGATTTGTTGGCAGGATCCTTAAAGCTTGGCAAAGTCAGAGATGCGTTCCATCTCTGGCCTAGAGCATGTTTGATTCTATTAATCACAAGGAGGTGAATTTTCAGGATTATAGAATATACGCAGACTGGCCTAGGACTTTGCATGTACTTAATTCCCTATCAGGAACGGTGTCAAGCACACCTGGCAATTGCCTGCACGGCTTCTAGCATCTTCTGTTGCATGACACGAAGCCCCAGAACCAGCATCACCCCCTTAGTGGCTGGAGGCAGCCGTCAGGGAGGGTTGAAGCCACTGCTTTCCCTGAGCTCTTATGCTCAGGGACAGTTCTTTCCTTCATGGGGAAGAGTAACTGCTGTGTTTATGAATTTTCTTAGTTAAAAAAAAATTCCTCCTGTTCCTTCTCTCAGGGCAGAAATTGTGCTCCCATGGGGACATCCAAATGTGATTTTCTTCTGTTTTATTTTGGAAAAGGGAACAAGTTTTCCCATGATGCCATAGATCCTATGGAAATATGTACATCAAACCTTTATAAAACGAGCAAGCAAGCAGAATTGTGAAAGAAAGGGGCTTTAGGCAGGGATGCGTAGATGTTTCAGATTCTCCTCCCTTAATGAAGACATGTGGGTTGTCTTTTTTGCATGTTGAATGCCATGCTAAGGATCTTGAACTCCAACAATAGTAGTGGCAAGAGAAACCAAATAAGGGGGTTGTTGTAACCAAGCTCACATGAGAAATAATGAAGGAGTAGGAATATGAATGATTTGAGAAATATTTAGGAGGCAAAATAGGTAGGTCTGGGTGATTGGAAATTGGGGTTATGGGCAAGGACACATCTAGGATGACCCACAGGTTGTGACTTAAGGAACCTGAGATAGGACATAGAGGACAGTGATCCAGTTTGAGAAACAAGATAATTGAGTTCAGTATGGCAAATGTTGAATTCCAGATGCTTTTAGGATATTCAAAGGGAGATGTCCAGATGCACAGAGGAGAACTCAGAGCTAGAAATAATAGATATGGAAGAAATTGGGATAAAACTAGGCTTTTGATAGAAGCTTGACCAATGACAGGAGCACAGAGCAAAAGAAGCACCCAAAAGGAATCTGTCACAGAAGACTCTAATAGCCCAAGGGGTGTGTGAGAGTAGAATTGGTTCTTTGTTGCTAAGGAATTATCCCCCTGTCCAATCCATGTTCTTTTGATGAAGGTGGAAGGACATCTCTAGTTTATTTGTAGTTTACATGTACATAGTACTTGAGCTTTTTGTGTGTGTGTTTTTTTGTTTTGTTTTTTTTTGTTTGTTTTTTTTCTGCACAGATGGCATGCAATTTCTGTCTCCTTTCACCACCTGCAACATGGCAGTTCAGATATATTATCTCTTAGAAATATATCTGATAACACATTCTTCTCTTTTATATAGTTTTAAAAAGCTTTAATATGGAAATAATTTTAAAATTACAGAAAAGTAGTAAGAATAGTTCCAATAATACCCATATGGGTGGCCTGAATGGTAGGCCAGGTCACCTCTGGGGAGCTCAGTCTCCTTGAAGAGGGAGGTGCCCAGTTCCAGTCACTGGAGTCTCTGGTCCTCCTTTGACGGCTTCTCCCAGAAGTTCTACCAATGGCACCACAGACATGTGGAGTCTACAGTGCACCTTGTCCAGACCTGGACCCCTTGGGCCTTGGCTGACCCTTTTCCTGGCTCCTCCCCGAATCTCATGTGAGTCTGACAGCAGCTACTGTGTGCTGACACCAACACCATCCCAAAGCTGAGGATTTGGAAATGAACTTGAACTCCTGCCTAGCAGAAGTTCACCATCTGGAGGAAGAGACCTGCCTGTAAAAAGAGAACTTGCCCCTCAAATATTCGGTGGGAAGTTAACACCACCTTTGTTTGCTCTGACACTGTGCCAAACACTCAGAACATGCGTGAGAGGCCAGCCCAGGAGTCCAGGAACTGGCCCTCTGAGAGGTGGTTCTGTTCAGCCATGGGCTCCTGGCCCAACCTCATCTCATGCCTCCCTCTCTCCACTCTGTACCTCAACCACTCTTGAATTTTTTCTGTTCCTGGAACATGGCAGCCTCGTCCCCCCGAGCCTTTCCCAGACTCACACGTCCCCTTCCTTCAGATCTCAGCTTACACATCATTTCCTAAGGAAGCCTTTTCTGACTACTTATGCCCATTATAAAGTCTCCTAACCCTTGGAATTGCCTTGTCACAGTTGTAATAAATCACTTATTAATGTGGAAAAAATATCCATATGCCCTTTACCCAAATGCACCTATTAGCATTTTGCCCCATTTACTATTTGCTTGCTTTATCTATCCATCTATTTTTCTATCTGATAAGTTTTTCTGAATCATTTGAGTTAGTTACACACAGAATTACCATTTACCTCCAGATACTCAAGAATGATAATAATCTTTTTATATCTCCTACCATCCATATTCCATTTTTGCCCATTGACCATCTAATGGCCTGTATAGCATTTCTTTTCCTCCAGTACAGGATCCAGTCTAGAATTAGGCAATGCATTTAGTTCCTATGTCTTTTTAGCTCCCATTAATTGGGAACATTGTCTTAGCTCTTTTTTTTTAAAATATATTTTATTGGTTTTTTACAGAGAGGAAGGGAGAGAGATAGAGAGTTAGAAACATCGATGAGAGAGAAACATCGATCAGCTGCCTCCTGCACATCTCCTGCTGGGGATGTGCCCGCAACCAAGGTACATGCCCTTGACCGGAATTGAACCTGGGACCTTTCAGTCTGCAGGCCGACGCTCTATCCACTGAGCCAAACCGGTTTCGGCTGTCTTAGCTCTTTTAAAATCTATGGCAAAACTGATATCTTTGAAGAATATAGTCCTCCCCTAAAAACACACAAAGCATTTGCTTTTGTGGGCGGGGGTGGGGGGGTGTCTATTGTTTTCTATGATTAGATGAAGGTGATACATTTCTGGCTGGAACACCCCATCTATGCCAACGTGTCCTCAAGGTTATCACAGCAGAAGGTGCTTCTGTCTCTGGTTGGAGATGTCAAGGTGTCTGATTTTTCCACTATTTTTTCCCTTGAAGCTAATAAGCAATCTGTAGGGAGCCTCTTTAAGACCATGCAAATAAATATCCTGCTCCCCATCAGAATATTCCACCCCACCCCCAGATTTGGCACCCGAATTCTGCCTGAACCAGTCTTGGCCGTTGTGATGGTTGCCAAATGATGAGTTTCCAACTCCAGCACTGGTTCCACATTTACCAGGTGGCGCTCAGAGATCTGTAAACAAATGCCTGCTCTTGTATTCCAGTTATTTATTCATTTCTCTATTATCAGCTTGGACTCAAAGATTCTCATTTTTTCAGAGGCTTACAATTCATGACTGTGTGTAATTATCTTTGGTGCTTGAGTGTCTGCGATTTGGCCAGCGAGAGTCCCTTCAAGCTGGCTCCTATGTTCTAGTGACATCCATTGTTTGTTTTTTTAATCCTCACCTGAGGATATGTTTGTTTTTTAAAATTAATGTTTGTTTTTTAAAATTAATTTTAGAGCAAGGAAGAGAGAGAGAAAGAGAGAGATAGATAGAGAGAGAGAGAGAGAGAGAGAGAGAAATATCGATGTGAGAGAAACATTGATTGGTTGTCTCCTGAACATGTCCCGACTGGGGGTCAAATCCAAAACCTAGGTATGTGCCCTAACTGGGAATTGAATCCTCACCCTTTTGGTGTTTGGGACCATGCTCCAACAAACTGAGCCACCTGGCCAGGACTCCCATTTTTTTAAATAAAAAAATCACTTCCTTACTTTCATAACAAGATATCCCTGGCTTATCTTATATCTTTACTTGCCCTGCCCCTGCCCTGGGACCAGCCATTTCTTTGAGGAATCCTTTTCCCTTTCAGTGGGGAATGGAGAGACCAGGATCTGTGCAATGCAATATACGAGGTGATGTTATGTTCTGAAAGAAAAATATTGCCATAAGAAGTAAAGCCATGTTTGGATGAGTTTACTCTTCTGATCCTTTTTGCTAAAATAGTAAATTCTTAAATGAGTATATATTTTAAACAGCTTTTATTGAAATGGTTTATTGTAGAAACTTTAGGAAATACTAGTACAAGTTAGTAAAATAAAAAAGAAAGTAATACCACCTTTATATTACTAGTGTAATACTACCTTTAAGGACTGTTTTTTTAAACCTTTTTTTTTTTTTTAGGTATAGTTTACATACCAAGACTTGTAGCTTTGAAAAAAAAATCCATAATGATGACCATTTTTGTCAGAATGTACAGGTTAAAGCCTGTTAAAATAAACCTATCTTAAAATATTCTGTAAAAAAACCAAAAATGTCAGCTAAACTTATTCTATCACATGAAATAGTAACATATATTATTAGCAAGTAATTCCATAAAGAATGGATTTGGTATACTTTAAAAAATTTATTGACGATCCTTTTATAAATATGTTTCTTTATCATTTGCTTGGGCTAACAGGAAAATTGCAATATATAAATATATGTTGTTATTTTGAAAGCAGATGTCTAACAGAATTGATAGTGATTCTGGTAGACTACATTCTGGATCTGTGAATATAACTAGTATAAATGTCTTGTACCTAACAGCTTTTCCCACAACTCCCCACCCTGATATATGCAAGGGACCTTAAGTAGTCTAATTTAATCGGCTTAGTCTGAAATAAAATACCACCTCCGAATACTAGCTGCTTGGTATTTCTTAATCTTCTATGGAACGAACTGTGATTAAAAGGCATTCTAATATATATATTTTTAAATTCCAGACTGGTCTGATGTACTGGCCTTTTGTACAGGTGAGTTTTTCTTTAGTTCTTTAAATTCTTATAAAATTTTATTTAAACCGAACTAATGACATATGCCTGGGAGCAAGATCTCAAATGTTCCCTATTCAGGTGAGTTTTAAACCACTCAGAATGCTAACTCCTGGCTTTGGTTTATACCAGTAATGGTGAACCTTTTGAGCTCGGCGTGTCAGCCTTTTGAAAAACCCTAACTTAACTCTGGTGCCATGTCACATATAGAAATTTTTTAATATTTGCAACCATAGTAAAACAAAGATGTATATTTTTGATATTTATTTTATATATTTAAATGCCATTGAACAAAGAAAAATCAACCAAAAAAATGAGTTCGCGTGTCACCTCTGACACGCGTGTCATAGGTTCGCCATCACTGGTTTATACAGTCCTAACATCCTCTTTCTGTTACAGCTTACCAACTTCAGCCTTGTTCCTATTCAGTGGAGAACAGCTTACACGGGACTGTATGGTTTTCTGTGGGCCACCTTCCTTTGCTATTCACAACAGAGTGGCGATGGCACATTGACATCAGTTTTCACATTCCTTCATCAAAAGAAGGCCAACGAATTTGAAAAGCCCCCAGAGAAATGAGGAGTCAAGGATTCCCTGAAAGTGACAATATTTTTTTTTTAATTGCAGTGAGTTGCCTACTGATAAAATACTCTACTTACCTGCAGTATGTGCTCCATTTGGAAGAATTACTATTCCTAGACCCACTTGTTTCTTAATTATCAATAAGTACTTTAAATTTTATCCAAACCTTTTTTTCCTCATTCTACCTGAAAGTATTACTTCTCTAATATTTTCACTTCTTCAATACTTTGGTAATACCAGTATCAGTGGCAAAATGGCATTTAATACTAGTTACTATTTCTATTCTAATATTTTAATGCCATTTGATTATATTTAATGCATTTAATTATTAATGCCATTTAAGGAGCCTGTTTTGATTGTATACATCTCTTTTCTAACATCTCAGGTTACTCCTAAACACTTTTGGATCTGATTACCTTTTATACCCAAAGTAGTTCTTAATAGTAAATTTCTATCTACATGGAACTCAATCAAAGTCAAGATTGAATAACCAGATTTCCTCCACCCCAATACTATATAATCATTTTTTTGCTGAGACTAAAGTTCTATAAGTATACTTTAAATCATAAAAAAATAGTGTATGATTGGTGTGCCCTGTGTAGAATATAGTTCATTGGCATTTCCTATTTTTGTAATTTCCTTAGTTAAGTACTTTTTAGCTAATGTTTTATAGTTTTGAGCATATTCAGTACCTCATATGAAATTTGACTTCTTAGAGAAATATACTGAGTGAAGTTTCTGGGGGCCCGGGGGGGGGGGAGAATAATTTCTCATCCTTTGTAAGGAAGAACTCTATTTCATAGGTTTTTAGGAAAAAGTTACCCCAGATTTCATGCTGATGTTATATTTTTTAAAATCAATGTTTTAAACTAAATTTTTATAGGTAATCTTTAAGGTAGATAAGAGAAACTTGATTCAGTTTTTTCAGATTTACTGTTTGTCTCACCTCAAAACAAGTGGGTTTAAAATTATATGAAAATCTCAAGAAGTTTCAGCAAATTTCACCTAAGAACTGAACCACAATTCTGTCGCTTCCAATGGAGTATTGCACAAATTTAAGATGTGAAGCACTAAAATGTTAATAAATTTATCTTGAGAATTTATATTTAAGATTAATTTAATGATCTATATTTAAAATTTTGAGCATATCATTTGTAATATAAATTTATGCCATAACTTTTAAGTATATGATTAATTTTATTTTACATTATTGGGACAACGGTAGGAAATTTCTAGATAAAATAACATGGATGGATCTTGAGAATATTATGCTAAGCGAAATAAGTCAGTCAGAAAAAGTTAAGAACCATGTTATCTCATTCATATGTGGGATATAAAACTGAAACTCATAGAAATAAACAACAGTATGATGGTTACCAAAGGGGAGGGATGGGGAGCAGTTAAGGGAAAAGGGGGTCAAATATATGGTGATGGAAGATGATTTAACTTTGGGTGGTGGGCACACAATGCAATATACAGGCCATGTATCACAGAAATGTACACTTGAAACCTATATGATCTTCTTAACCAATGTAACCCCAATAAATTTAATAAAAAATAAAATAATTTACTATTTGCATTGTTTTAAAAGTAGTTCATGCCACAGAAAAGTTATTTCACAATACATAAGACAAATTTTGTCTTTAAAAAAGTATATGTAGAGTTAACTATTGAAAGTACTACCTGTAATCTTTTAGCTGAAGTTCAGCATTATTTTATGATGGAAAAAGAGTGTTTGCATATTGTACAAAAGCAATTGGGAAAACAGACCTTGTGAATACTGTTAAGGAGAAAAGCGTTTTTTATTCATGAAAGTATGATAATCTTTACTCAATAATGTGTTACCCTGGAATATAGAAAATATCTAGCATGGCTTCTCTAAATTTTTGCAAATGATACACTTTCAGTTTTTTTAAAAAAATATATTTTTTATTTATTTCAGAGAGAATGGGAGAGGGAGAGAGATAGAAACATCAGTGATGAGAGAGAATCATTGATTGGCTGCCTCCTGCACGCACCACTCTGGGGATTGAGCCTGCAACCTGGGCATTGAGCCTGCAATCAGTGCCCTGACCAGGAATCGAACCCCAACCTCCTTGTTCATAGGCCGATGCTCAATCACTGAGCCACCGCAGCTGGGCCACTTTCAGTTCTTAATGCTAATAATACAATGTTTATCTGTTTTAAAATGCTGCCAATCTTGGTAAAACACACTCGAGACCTTCTAGTGTTTAGAGCCAGGCAGGTGGCCGCCCTCTTCCTCCAGATTACCCTGTTCCATAGGCTTCTCTAACTTGGCTGTGTGCTGCCCTACCATGTTTTGGCTCTATGTTTGCTCAGGCAAGGGCAAAACCTATAATTCCCTTCCCTTAATGGAGTTGAGGTAGACTGGATTTTCAAAGCAACTTCACCTCCTATGTGTAGAAAACAAAAGGGAAATTTGGAGGATGTCAAAAGAGTTTCTTTAAAAAAAGCTTACAGAATACAGATTTCTGATCCTCTCATAGTTAGTTTTGAACTCAGATATCACAAATCCTGTCCTAGGTCCAGGCATTTGGCGTATTTGTCCCTGTGGCTCTGGTGGCTCCTTCCTGGTACTCTTTTCTGAATCCCTGGTTGTCACTGTATGATAATACAGTTGGCCCTGCTGCTACCATTAAAATCAGGAGTGCCCAAGTCTCGTCCTGTTAGACTGCTGGTTTCCATTTCTAGTCTCTGAGACAGGCCTCTTACAAAAGTAGTTGAAAATGGTTTCTCAATTCAGGGGAGAGCTTTCCTTATACACAAATGGATGCAATCACCCTTATAACAAAGGTTACTAAATGGGATGTAAAAAGGATGGTAACTGTGTTAAAAGAAGTTCATGATCTAATTGGGAGTAGAAGTTAAAAAAAAAAGATAATCTGGTTCTCAGGACATCTAATTCATCACTAGTTGCTTGAGCAGCATCTGTAACAAGTGGTCAATAGAAAGCTTGAATATTACTCAACTATTGCCACTCAGCCATAGGTTAACGGCAGAAGCAGTAGGTACTTTGAAGTCATGGTGCCCTGGGTAATCTGGGAAGGCTTCATGGAGGTGATGTCTGAGTTGCGTCTTAAAGGATGGAAAGTCACAAGAGCCTGAAGGTCTGTGAAGTGGAGGGTGATGGTAGGATCAGGTGAGATGAGATCCTGAAAGAGAGCAAAGAGAAAGAAAAGGCAGCTTAGCCAGTGTGGCTCAGTGGTTGAGCATCGACCTATGAACCAAGAGGTCAGGTTTCGATTCTCGATCAGGGCACATGCCTCGGTTGCAGGATCAGTCCCCAGTGTGGGGCGTGCAGGAGGCAGCCGACCAGTGACTCTCATCAGTGATGCTCCTATCTCTCTCTTCCTCTCCATTCCTCTCTGAGATCAACAAAAATAGATTTAAAAAAAAAGAAAGAAAAGTCATTCGAGCTCTGACACAGAGGGACGTTTCCATCACCTGCTCCTCAACTTTGAATAATGTAGATGTTTCTATCCAGTGTACTTGTGATTAATAAAAGCTAATTTCCTTTTGCCTATAGCATAGTTGGTTTGGTGAGAGAGAATTAGGCAATGTTCTAATACCAACTTTGAGTGGCTTGTGAAAATATTTCCCACAAAATCTGTTCAGTAAGGTGATTCAGTGTACAGAATAATGGATTATTTGCCCACTATCCAGTCAGCGAAATTTGGCATTTAGGGGTTCCTATAAATGAAGGGTGCTTTGGGAAAACTTTATCTTATAATGTATGGATACTCTTTGGGCCACAATAGGAAAGCTAATGAATGAAAGGGATTGCAGCTACTAAACAGTAGTTTTACATTCTAGTACTTCATTAATAACTATAATTTTAGTTTTTAATACTTTTTAAAATATATATTTTTATTGATTTCAGAGTGGAAGGGAGAGGGAGAGAGAGATAGAAACATCAGTGATGAGAGAGAATCATTGATCGGCTGCCTCCTGCACGCCCCCTACTGAGGATGTGCCCTTGACCGTAATGGACCCCAAGAAAATTTTGTTTTATTTTTTCACAATAAAACCTATAGATAAAGAGATTTAGTTTTGGTATTTTAGGTTGCACCTAAATAGGCCTCAAGATAAACTGTTCATCAAATTAAATGTAGGTAGTCTCTTTAGTTGAGGCAAATTACCCAGAACTACAATTTCTAACCCATCCATCATTGCCATATACTTTCTTGACTGTTTTTCTTCCAAGCATCGTCAGCCTTTAGGATCCATCTGAAGCTGTCCAAAAATACTTTTTGCTCCATGGGCAATTTAAATTTAGTTCAGTGGAATTTTCTACAGAGTGTTTGCCAAAACAAATTGTATCCAGACAGGTTTAACAATATTTTCTGGAGGGAGCTTTCATCTGAAATTAGGTTCATCTGCTGAAAGTATTAGAAAGTTAATGGGTTTTTGTGCATGAAGCTTTTAACTTTGCTTTGGCTACATTTAATCTAGTTTTGGGCATAATGTTTAGAATCTAAAGGAACCAAATAACAGAAAATGCAATTAAAAAGTGATTGAATTTTTTTTTCTTTTAATACTTTCAATGGCCAGTAAGTGAAAGGAAAAATCTGGAGTTTAAAGATAAAGAACAGATAAAGATCTGTGAATAGTGTCCAACCAAGTGAGTAGAAGAGAAAAATAACTGAGTAACATTTTGGCATATATTGAAATCTTTCTTTTCCTAGTTCCTTTTTCCTTTGTAAGCCTGTCTTCCTTAAGTGAATATTTATTCACCCATATTTTCCTCTTTTTTTTTTTTTTTTTGGCAAATGGCCATATCAAACTGTCTTCTGTTTTTAATTCCCGCCCTTACCTCCCCCCCCACCCCAACCATGACCACACAAACGCTCCAGGAAAGCAGGGTAATCGTGGAGAGGGTAGGGATGAGACATAGAAGTGGCATGATTGCTATGCTTTGGAGAGATGGTGGCAGAGACCCCTCATTGGGTCTCTTCTGTCCTCAGGGAAAGAAGAGGTAAAAGTGAAGCAGGGGGTCCCCCGGGGGTGAGGCTGACGGAGTCCTATCGAAGCATGCCCGACTCCGGAGACAGGTTCAAGACGCAGTCTGAAGTTTATTGTTTAAGTGCAGGGACATATATAACATTCCAGACCAATCAGAAGTTTACAACATCCTTAGGGCAACCAATGGTAGGAAAGTTAGGGTACTATGTAGGGGCTCTAGGGGGCTTACTCAGGCGGGCCCTGCCACTTCCAGGTGTGCCGAGGAAGCTTGTATAGGCGGAGGGCGCTCACGCCATTGCATCCGCCACTGCACTGAGATAAATCTCCTGAGCTCTTCCCACATTTCTTGCCACTCCCTTCTGGCCTGCAAAGATTCTGTTGAGAAATCAGCTGACAGTCATATGGGTACTCCCTTGTAGGTAAATGACTGTCTTTTTCTTGCTGC